CAACAAAAGCCATTAACAGAGTATATATATGTGATATATATCCGGGAAAAAAGTACTCACTTTTTTCCCACGTGAAAAAAGTAATTTATGAAAAGTGACATTTTATAACCTGCCAACACAGATGAAATGCCAAACTTTTTTCCCGTCACAGAAAAAAAATTTTTTGTGATATAAGCCCATTCAGTGAAATATTTCGTTGATAAAAGAAAAACTATATTTCAATTTGGTAAATTGTTTTGTTGAATCAAATTCAGTAGCCATTGATTCTGAAGTTAACTATAAATTTGAACGATATAGATAGTTCATTTCTACATTTGAATAAGAGAACTTATATGGTCTCTAACGAGGTTTCTAAGATCTATTTCAACCATATATTTTGTAGTTTGAGTCAACTCATTTAAAATATATTCTTGATTTAAAAAAGAAGATGTTTCTGGCGGTTTCTGGTTGATTCAACATCATTGTTGCAAAATATCTTTTTTTTTTTTTTCGTGTAAAAAAATGATAAAAATTCATTCGTTATTCGGTTGTTTGTTAGCATTTGGCGACTAGTGGTTTAGCAACAGGCCAACCACCACAAAGGAAGACAGTAAAGAGCGTATTATAAAACGACAACCGCACAATGCTGCCTCATAGTGGGTGTCTCTTAAATACGGATTATAAGTACTTTATGTAACTGCATTCCGAAACTTTTAACGCCATTCATATCCAAACTCGTATCCAAAGTACCCATTAATTATTTCGAAATCAAACCAATACAAAACCAACTTTCTGATCATGCCTCGCATCTGATGAAAAATAATTATATACAGGGTGTTTTCTATAAGGGCATCGAAATTCAATGATTCGAATTCATATTGAAATGCTCATTCACTAGTTCTATACAAATACATTCTATATGTAATTTGGTGAATGATTAATCCATATTGAATCAAGATTACGGTAATACTTGATACTTGATACGACGGGAAAAAGTGAGTACTTTTTTTTCGGATATAATATTATACTATATTATAATATGTATACACTGTTGATGGCTTTTGTTGTTGTGCCATGTACTTTTCATTTTCCCGCATGCTCTTCTAATTAATCTTTGATTCTGAATTTGAGGTCATGAATTTGGATATGTAAAAATGGAATGTTTTGAATTTTTCTTATCGAATTAGAAACTTCACCCGTAATTTGCTTCGATATACTCATCAGTTCCGAAAAATAAACCAATTAGATTTTAGCTGTCGTTTTTTGTCCCACAACCCACACAACACAACCTCGAGCTGAAATATGTGATACTTTTTTCCCTTGTTTAATAAAAAACTATTTTTCTCTGACGGAAAAAAATTCATCTCTGTTGACAGGTTATAAAATGTCACTTTTCAAAAAAAACTTCTTTTCCACAGAGAAAACTAGTGTATTATATACGGGAAAAATATTAGATTTCAGCTCACGGTTTTTTTGTACAGCAATCTGGAGCTAAAATCTACTACTTTTTTCCCTTGTATAATGAACAACTATTTCACCAGAGTATTATAAAATTTCTCGAATAAAGCAACATAGCAGCAGCAGAATTACAAAATATAGCAATCTCAATTAGTGAATAAATACATTTTCAAGAAATTAAAGATACTTTTAGTGTGCATTTTTGGTTTCATGGGGGTGAATTGAAATCAAAAAAATTACGCAGGTTGTGAAAATATTGTTCGTAATATCATGATGCCCTATTCACATCAGAAAAATAAAACGTATACAGTATAATATCATTTGTTTTAACTGTGGTATAGTTAAAATAGGATATTTTATTTATTTGATATCTGCTTTCGCTAAGTGATAGATAACTCATCGACTATATGTTGAGGGACTATATTTTATCAATCATTTATTTCATCGATATAGAAGTACCAAAAAATCGTTAAAAACTGTGATTCGGCTCAACAAATATAGACACAATATTTCTCAGAGCTATACATAGTTGAAAAGGGAATGAGTTGTTTTCATGAACACACTTTATAGATAGATAGCAGATTTAAAATGTATTATAAGTGTGAAAATAAATTGGTATATAAAGTCTCCTGAAAGTGGCTCATCCTTATAACTTCTTTGTTTCAAAACAAACAAATAAAATTCGGTTTTACCGAAAATAACCCTTACTTCCCTATCTTGAATGGAACACTCAGTATATTTTTACGTACCTCTTTTCATAGAGAATCGACACACTGAATTTCATATGTTACTCCGTAGAAACAGAAAAGTTATAGGGTTGAGCCACTTTTGATAAACTTCCGTTATATAGTATTTTGTATATTCTTCTGAAAACAATGATGAAATGAACCATCTGACTCTCTCAACAACTGGTTATGGCCGAATATGCCGGTTTGAATTCATCAAATCTGCAATATTTGCTAAAGCTTTTCATATTTCATTTTGTATGTTTAAAGTACCGGCATATTGTGTATTATTGTATTGTGAGGGTTCCGAATAAATATTTGTAATCCCAGATGAATAAGTTCGCTGGTTTTACGACAAGATTTTCCGAATAATCCATCAGTTATCGGCTTTTTTACCCTCACAGCTGTAAAACATGGCAGTTTCCAAAAGCAATGTTCCATTTAGCTCGCGAAACAATCTATTAAAACCACCCCTATTGATTTATTCCCTTGGAATAACCATTATTTAAATCTCCCTTTCACGCTCTCGACAGTATCTCGATCTGAGATCTATATTTCTCATTTTTACCTATTCTTTTCACTTATTTCGTTCGGCGGCTGCTGACAAGTGACAAGTGTGTGAAAAGCGTTTAGTTTAGTCATTTACTTCAGTTAGCGGAACAACGTTAATGTTCTTTGATGAAAAGCGACTATTCCAAGTTTGACAGTTATGTTGGTTGATGTTTAAATTATTATTGTTACATACAAAGAGGTCATAGTTACATTTTACAATAATTGGTTTCGTATCTGTTGACTGTTATAACAAAATTTTCACATTCAACAATAATTATGTTCATACCATTTCAATGTGTGTTTTATTGGAAATTCTGAGCTAATGCTTTAGTTGAAGTTGTTAAAAATCACGGCCTGATTCGATATCGATGTTGATGAAGTCAGTTGTTAATGTTGATATTGCTACGATGTTGATATTGCTACGACAACCTCGCCGAAACTCGGCCACACTCGTCTAACACGTTGCCGAGTCGCAAATTATTTTTGTATTCACAAGTCGACATATTATGAGATGTTCGAGATCATTAATCGCCTTTTAATATACAAGTTGGTTAAAAGAAATGTCCGTCGAGTCACGTCGACTATATTTATCATTTCTCCTTCAATGCAGAAAACTTGGTTCGCGAATTCATCATTCATCAGGAAACTGCTAAGAATCACCCAGTAGCCTTGTTACTGACATTAGGGACATTATTTGACATTTGTCGAAATGATCAACATAGAAAATAAATTCCTTGTGTTAGAAAACAGGGATTAAAATCGTGTCAGAAACTTGGAAAGGTGAACCCGTTAACAGAAAGTCTTCAATGAAATCCATATTTTCGATTCAAATGCAGATTCCGTAAGTTATAGCATGAACAATAAATGCACGCGTTGTATGTTTGGTTGCCTATAAAACAATCGTGCATTAATAGACAAATCGTTCATTAATAGGGGTCATTAATGAACGATTTCATATACATTAATATGAGGTCGACGGAAAAAATGTATTATAGACTAGTTGACTTCGCCCGTCACTTTAACGTCCATCAAACACTAATAAAATCTAGTGTAAAAGTCCATAGCTCAAAGTAGTGCAAAGTAGTAAGTACTAAGAGACAAACACAAAATCATCTCGACAACGTTCACTTTCCTAAAAGGAATTAGTGGAACATGGTTTCGGACATCAATAGTGTCCATCATCAGCCGAAAGGTGAAAATATTCTACAAATGATACAATATTCTAGGTGTTGAAAAGGAATATTCTCAGATAAATTATGTACATACAAAAATGAATATATATATTTATATAAAGCAATACATTGAGAATTCGCATTCTCTATGTGATGAGAATATTAACTCTTTTTTAGTTTATTCAATAGAAAACTACTACTTTCCTGGCTATATGCCACGACGAACATTGAATTATATCTATCGAACACACACGATAAGAGTTTGAAAATGAAATATAAAAACTTCTGATATTGAGAATTTGCATTCTCCTTCAGACAAAAATATGTATATGCACACATCATTCTGAATATTCAACAGAAAACAACTACTCTCCTGGCTATTTGCCACGTCGAACATTGAATTATATCTGATTCTGATGAACAATCAAAAGGAGAATATGAAAAATAAAGAATAAAATCCTCCGAAATTGAGAATTGACATTATTCTTCAAATCGGATGAATAATATGATGAATAATGATACCATACCAATATATTCAGCATTGAAATGAAAATTGGAATGTACCTATAGGATAAGTATACTGGCATAAACTCTGATCTTGATGAGCTTGAAAACTTCCAAAAATAATCATTCATATCAGTGATATGGGAAATAGTATCTCTCACACACAGGTTATATGACTTTATTGCAATGAAACCATTTCGGATTTCGGAATCCTCATCAGTAACCATGATGTCCACTTATTCTTACAGCCATTCTTCATGATATACACAATTTTCATCTCTCTATAATACAACTGAAACCGAGTAAAACTATAACGAAATGACATCTCAGAAAATTTGTTGACATTCTATTCCTGTCATTCGGACATTTTTGCTCTTGGGTGTATGAATGTCAATTTATCATACGCACCCAGAAGCAATATTCTAGGAATTGTCTTTTATATACTTGAAATTATTCTGCTGATTACGGTGTTGCCAAATGATGTTTTTTCCGAAACACTCCGGAAATGTAATTTTAATTTTCCTTTTTTTCAATTATAATTTCAGACTGATGGAAAGGGCGACCGTCATGTAAAACATCGACAATCCGACCTACACCCAGCACGACCACGATGAGTTGGCAACCGGGCCGCGTGCTGCTGCAAGGCCTCTTCCTGCTCGTGTTCACTTTCCATTGGTTCGCTTTGGCAACATTGCCGAGCAACGCGAAATTCTACACGATACACTGGAACTCGTCGAACCCCATCTTCAGAATCGACAACACCGACAACATCATCGATGTCAATAGGAATAACGTTAAGTTTGAATATGATCAGGTAAGATTTGTGAGAATAATTATTATTTTTGTTGAACAAGTCAATGAAGTGGTGATTTTTTGTGAGTAGAAGGAAGTTGATATAATCTTCCTTATTCCGAATGAAACACCTCGTGAAACGCCTTGTATATATTTCATCACATTTTTTGATTCGAAATGAGTCATGGAAACCATCCATCCTTCTCAAAGTGGTCCAATTTCTTGAAAAAAAACTATAAAAACACTAAGTCGGTCGACCACAAAATTATATTAATCAAATCATACTTATCATAGTGCCTAGTTTCGGCTCAACGGTCATCTTCAGTCACTTTTTTTTGTGTTCTGGTTCCCACGAAAAGGGATATCCTGTAATGTTCAGAGAACATCGTGAAAACCAAGGGAAATAAGGTAGAAATTGGTGTTCTTCTTAAATTTCTGGAGGTTATATGCCTCGGGGAACAGCTCCCTTGGCAATGTGTTCCAGAGCCTCGCTGTTCGTTGGATGAACGAGTCTTTGGAAAGAGATGTTCTGCAGGTCTACAAAGTGACCACGAAGGGGTGCGAAGCCTCAACTCGACGGGTTAATGTCGCGGTGACTGCCAAGGGAGGAACATTTGTTGATATTTCAGAAGAGCATCGTCGATGAAAATATCTATAAAATACAGCCAGATCGCCAACTTTTCTACGGTGTTCCAGAGAAGTGAGTGAGTTTGAGAGCGAGGCATCACCCACAAGACGAATTGCCCTTTTTTGTACAGAATCCAACAGTTTCAGGGTATGTTTGAGTGATGCACTCCAAATATGGGAACAGTATTCCAGGACAGGTCGGATCTGTGCCTTATAGGCCACTAGCAGCTGACTAGAGGCGAAATAGCTTCTGGCCCGAAACAGAAAACCAAGTGTTTGGGATTCACTTTCAGCAATTGATCTTACGTAATTTTCCCAAGAAAGGTTATTGCTGAAAGTAATACCATGCATCGAAATGGATGTCTTCAAAGGTATGGTTACTCCTGACAAGCTCATGTTGGACACAGTGAGATCGGCTTTTTTAGAGAAGAGACATGCTTGTGTTCTGTTTGCATTGAAACCCAAGTAATTGGATCCCCATTCGAGAATTGTTGCCAAGTCCATATTTATGTAGTCAACATTTCTCCCTCGTTAGTTTCTGATTTGCCTGGCTGGAATCGGAGCCTTGGAAGAGAAGGCGGTATGGAGGGTACTATCATCCGCAAACCTGTGTATTGGACATGAAGTTGCTTCCAACAAATCGTTGATATGGAGTAGAAATTATGTTAGAATTGATCCTTGCGGAACACCAGCACTTATGATAAGAGAGTCAGATGAAACTCCGTCGACCACTACATGGAGAGACCTGTTTGAGAGAAAACTACCTACTAGATAACATAGCTGGGGAGACAAGTCATAAGATGGAAGCTTGGCGAGGAGTCCGTGGTGCCAGACTCGATCGAATGCCTTGGAGATATCAAAGGTTTCACCATGTTTTTCAATAGATTGCTGCCATATATATGGGACGCAAGTGAGCAGGTCACCAGTTGATCTCTGATGACGGAAGCCATATTGCCTATCGTTGATAATACCTGAATGTTCCAGGTATTTCATGTTCTCGATGTTGATAGCTTTCTCCATGATCTTTGAAATAATAGATAGCAGTGCGATCGGTCTGTAGTTGCTAGGTCTTTCTGTCTCTTTTAGGAACTGGTTGTACTCTCTCAATTTTCCAGTTGGACGGGAATATCCCCAATTTGTCAGAGTAGTTGCACAACTTGCAGAGAACAGGTGTTAGTTCGGGAGCACATTTCTTGAGAACAAATGGTGGGATTCCGTCGAGCCACAAGCTTTGTTGGTGTTGATATCCAATAAAATCTTCCTTATAGTACGTTGGCGAAAGGTGATCTCGGGAATATGACTGTCAATTGACGTTATGTCTGGAGGTTGTTTTCCCGATGAATCCAGAGTGAAATTTGCAGCAAACAAATGCGCAAAAATGTTGGCTTTCTCCTGGGCAGTTGTAACTAGTGTTCCATCTTCCTTGGTTAGAGGAGGAAACGAGCTGGAAGTGAAGTTTCTTCCTACAGCTTTTGCGAAGGACCAAAATGAACGGGAATCGTAAGGACTTTCAACAAGTTTTGGCATTATGAGCATCCTTTGATGATCGAATTGTCTCATTACATATGCCTCTAGCCTCGACATATTCTGCTCTAGTCTAGTAGATATTCTCCTTGCAGTGTTCGGTATGTAGGTTTGCAACCCCAACATGATGATTTCAGAAATTGTCTCAGCACATCGTGTTGGATCTGCTGAGGAGAAACAAACTCTCTTCCATGGGAACTGAAAAGAAGATAGATATCGATATGCAGTTTTCACCATCGAGTTTGTCATTTGAATTGATCAACAGGCACCAACATCAATTTTTTTCTACAACCCCATTGACCGATACCAGAGATTATACACTCATAATCTCTGCCGATACTGTTGGTAAAATTGTATTTATCCCTTTGCCTCTTTTTGCAGGTGAACCTGATCTGTCCCGTGTACACGCCAGGCACGCGGGACGACGAAATGGAGAAGTACATCATCTACAACGTCTCCAAGGACGAGTACGAGACGTGCAGGATAACGAATCCCAATCCGAGGATAATCGCGGTGTGCGACAAGCCTTACAAGCTCATGTATTTCACTATTACCTTTAGACCGTTCACGCCTCAGCCGGGCGGGCTGGAATTTTTGCCAGGTGAGGAAAATAGTTATTCATATATCGAAGACTGGAACCTTTGGCACGATAATACACTACACTGTTTTACCTCTAACTAGATCAATTTAATTTTATCCTGAAGATGCTAACATAGTTAGCGAAACACGTTTCGAGGCGTTAAAAAATCGGTTTGGTTAGTGGTGAAACAGTGTAGTGTATAGTTATTCACGTATCAAGTGCTTTTATTGACCGTAGCATCTCAGAAATATCAAGAGAACTATATCTATATGTATATACAGTGTGTCCCACTTACAATGCTCACCATGGGTACCTTTTTAACGGTGAGAGATACGAGGTCGGTTGAATGACACCAAATGTGGAGTTTGTCAAGGCCAACTTTAATGTGAACAAATATTTTGATAAAATCTATTCGTTTTTGTTTTATACGCAAAAAACAGATTTTGATCATTCTCATGTCTCCTCCGTAACTTCTTTATTTATGAAATTATTCAAATAGGAACTTCACATTCTCATGGCAGTTTTTCAAAATCATTTCGAAAAAAATATGAAATTTTTACCAACTCTTCTAATATTTGAGATATCAGTACCAACTTCAGTTTTTCAAATGTAGGTCATAGCTCACTATGACTTAGTTACAAATAACTTCTTTTTCTCTTACAGATGATATGTCGCAGTAATAGTTTTGTGTTGATAATAACGGAATTATCGTCATTTATACAAATACAAAAAATTATTTGGAAGCCGCCATCTTGAATTTATGAATTTTAACAAGAAAATCATGATCTCGGACCTCAAAAACATCCACTCACCAATTTTGAATGGAATCGGACCAAATCATGTCCGCCATCTTGGAGCAGCCATTTTTTTTAAATTTCAACAAAAATTCCATAACTCCGATTAACTTGAAATTTGGCAGGTGTTCATAATTCCGGTGACAATACATTATAGAATTTTTGTTGAAATTAAAAAAATGGCTGCTCCAAGATAGCGGACAAGATTTGGTCCGATTCCATTCAAAATTGGTGGGGGTTTTTGGGGTCGGAGATCATGATTATTTTGTTAAAATTCATAAATTCAAGATGGCAACATCCAAATAATTTTTTGTTTCTGTATAAATGACGATAACTCCGTTGTTATCAACACAAAACTATGACTGCGACATATCATCTGTGAGAGAACAAAAAGTTATTTGTAACTAAGTCATAGTGAGGTATGACCTACATTTGAAAAACTAAAGTTGGTGCTGATATCTCAAATTCTAGAAGAGTTGGTATAAATTTCATATATTTTTCGAAATCACTTTGAAAAACTGCCATGAGAATGTGAAATTCCTCTTTGAATATTTTCATTAATAAAGAAGTTACGGAGGAGACATGAAAATGATCAAAATCTGTTTTTTGCGTATAAAACAAAAACGAATAGATGTTATCAAAATATTTTTTCACATTATAGTTGGCCTTGACAAACTCCACATTTGGTGTCATTTAACCGACCTCATATCTCTCACCGTTAAAAAGATACCCATGGTGAGCATGGTAAGTGGGACACACTGTATATACAGGGTGTATCTAAATAACACCTAACAAATTCAAGGGGTGTTTCCTTGTGATATTCTAGCAAATTAAGTTGATATAAACATATGTCCTAACTTGCCCCGTTCTTGAGATACAGGATGTTGAAGTCGGAAGTATTAATTGTTTTTATGTATAACCCCCCTGTATGAGATTTCATGGTGCCAAAATTCAGTATGGGTGGAGACCTAGGAAGCCTCAAAATTTCAGAATGATTCTAATTGGTAATTGAGTAATCTCAATAGAAGTCTTCAAAACGTCTACATTAAAATTTGGTGCAAATCAGATTTTTATTGATTTCTCATAAACTAAGCTAGATACAAAAATCACACAGAGGATAAAAAAGTTGTTATTTCAATAGTTCGATCTAATAAACATATAAAACTCAGAAAAACCACCATGAATATCGATAAATTTACCCACTGTGATGCCACTGGAAATATTATTTAGAATCTAATTGCACTAGAAGAAGTTCCATATTACTATTAACAAAAACCAAACGTTTTATTAAATCAATATGCTTATGTTCCAAATATTCATCGTTACCACTTGCCCCAAACTTATCATGTTACCTTCTTATTTTCCTTTTTCTTCTTGTATTTTTCAACATGAGGTTTTTCTTCTAGAAGGCTGAAATAATGATGATCCAACAGGAAATTTCGCCGAATTCCCTGGTGTTCCAACAAGGGGGTCACTTTAATGGGATATTTTGATGAACAAATAATTCTTTTTCTTCTTTTTTTCTGCCTCTTTCCATGAGGAAGTTCTCGAAACATATGACAAAATACTTCTGGTATCCTATTTATAATGCATTTTGAAGTCGCGAAATAATGAATCACAGTTCAATATGTGACTCCATATTTCCTCAATTAATGTAGAATAAATAGATTCTTACAAAATTACTGGAAAAACATCAGTCAGGCACCATTACTCTTTCACGACCTGTTGATAGATTCAATGAAAATAAACCAAAATGGAGTCTGTTTGGCTTGCCAAAGTCGCCGATAAATAAACAAATAAAATATTTCTAGCCGTACCTAGATCGCCAGTACAAATAATTCCGAAATATAAATAGAAATATTATTATTCACGTTCATGAAAACTATACGAAGTTTTAAGCCTCTTATAACGATCATGAAAAGAACAAGAACGTTTAGTTGATTTATCTCAAGATATTTTCCATTTCGAACGTTTTGTAGAGAATCACATCCAAATTATAATTTTTTTTCTCCTCCGAGCCCTATTAGTATGTAACGGAACCTGCTTTACTATAATCAAACATACATTGAGAATTCGCATTCTCTATGTGTTGAACATATCAATTCTTGCTCGGTTCATTCAACAGAAAACAACTACTTTCCTGGCTATATGCCATGCCACGACGAACATTGAATTATATCTATTGAACACACACGATAAGAATTTGAAAACAAAATCTTCTGAAGATAAAAATTCGCATTCTCCTTCGGATACAAATATGTATATGCACCTAAATATCATTTTGAATATTCAACAGAAAACAATTACTCTCCTGGCTATTTGCCACGTCGAACATTGAATCATATCTGTTGAACATCCAACAGGAGAGCATTAAAAATGAAAATCCTCTGAAATTTAGATTTGACATTCTCTCTCGGATAAATAATATGATGTACTATTATATAAATATATATTTTACCAATATGTTCAGTATTGAAATGAAAATTGAAATGTATAGGAGAAGTATACTTGTATTAACTCTGATCTCTGATTCCTGAATAGATCGATTCGATATTTGCTGCTTTGAAGTGCCTTGCTGTTTTGGTAGAGGTTTAAATATTCATTTAATCATAGATAAGCTATAATCCCGCTTTATGCATTCGATATCAGAATTCAAAGGTTATATTTTCCGTTGAAAAGGAATATTCTCAGATAAATTATGAACATACAAAAAATGGATATATATTTATATAAAGCAATACATTGAGAATTCGCATTCTCTATGTGATGAGAATATTTACTCTTTTTCAGTTAATTCAATAGAAAACAACTACTTTCCTGGCTATATGCCACGACGAACATTGAATTATATCTATTGAACACACACGATAAGAGTTTGAAAATAAAATATAAAAATTTCTGAAATTGAGAATTTGCATTCTCCTTCAGACAAAAATATGTATATACACACATCATTCTGAATATTCAACAGAAAACAACTACTTTCCTGGCTATTTGCCACGTCGAACATTGAATTATATCTGATGAACATTCAAAAGGGAACATAAAAAATAAAGAATAAAATCCTCCGAAATTGAGAATTGACATGATCTAGAAATATGACTCACCAATATATGCAGCATTGAAATGAAAATTGGAATGTATAGGAGAAGTATACTGGCATGAACTCTGATCTTGATGAGCTTGAAAACGTCCAAAAATAATCATTCATATCAGTGATATGGGAAATATTATCTCTCACACACAGGTTATATGACTTTATTGCAATGAAACCATTTCGGATTTCTGAATCCTCATCAGTAACCATGATGTCCACTTATTCTTACAGCCATTCTTCATGATATACACAAATTTCATCTCTATATAATACAACTAAAATCGAGTAAAACTATAACGAAATGAATGATTAATTTTGGACGTTTTCAAGCTCATCAAGATCAGAGTTCATGCCAGTATACTTCTCCTATACATTCCAATTTTCATTTCAATGCTGAATATATTGGTAAGTCATATTTCTAGATCATTATTCATCATAATATTCATCCGATTTGAAGAAGAATGTCAATTCTCAATTTCGGAGGATTTTATTCTTTATTTTTTATGTTCCCTTTTGAATGTTCATCAGATATAATTCAATGTTCGACGTGGCAAATAGCCAGGAAAGTAGTTGTTTTCTGTTGAATATTCAGAATGATGTGTGTATATACATATTTTTGTCTGAAGGAGAATGCAAATTCTCAATTTCAGAAATTTTTATATTTTATTTTCAAACTCTTATCGTGTGTGTTCAATAGATATAATTCAATGTTCGTCGTGGCATATAGCCAGGAAAGTAGTTGTTTTCTATTGAATTAACTGAAAAAGAGTAAATATTCTCATCACATAGAGAATGCGAATTCTCAATGTATTGCTTTATATAAATATATATCCATTTTTTGTATGTTCATAATTTATCTGAGAATATTCCTTTTCAACACTTTCATACCCAATCAGGGGGTTCAAACTTGAACGATGATTTTTATAGACCTCTAATCGCAGATTCGTGATAGAGTCTCAATTCAGAATTCATTTCCACGCCCTGTATGATGAATGTCAATTTATCATACACCCAAAAGTTATATTTTCCGTTTTCTCTATGTTGCCAGATTTAATTTACTTGGAAACAATGGAAATAATCGATTATCATCTATAAAATCTTTCGACTTTTCACTTAATTCCATTAATTTCATGATTCAGCTTACACAAATTTATGTCGATGTTTTTTCACCACTAGCTATTGAACCTACCATTATTTACTCCTTTTAAAAGTGAAGCGTGTTTTTCTCTACCAAGGTTTTTTCGTCATTTTATCAACTACTAGTCAATTAAGTTATAATTAACCCGAATTCACTGTTCTGATGCGAGATTCGCAGGAACATGCCACTCGAATCTAGTAGGTATTTATCAATAACGACTTGCCATCTTGATCATGGCTTCTAGATTTTAATGAGAATTGAAAATACGTACGTACGTAAAATAGATCCATTCTTCAGTTTCATAGAACTACAATCATTGCTAGTGGTGAAGAATATTTGATGTACATCTAGGAAAAAGCAAAATAATCGAAAGTGGAATGCAATGGTCACAAAGATCGAAACTCGAAAGTCATTACCACAGTTTTTTTTGTGGTTATGTCAACAAATTATAATTCTCAGATGTTAGTTCGTTATAGTTTTAGGGTTTCGAACTGTCTGCTCTCATATAGCCCTGCACTGATGTGGGCCAACAGCTCGAAACCGGTCTGCAGGTACTCACGCGTTCCTGAACCACTTAGGCGCAGCTCGGCGTTTAGGAAGGAAACACTTGCGATTTCATCCGTCTATACGAATTATTGCATAGATTTCGGAGTAATGTTCTGCGTGGCATATAGCCAGAAAAGTAGTTGTTTTTTTCTCGTTATCAACCATTTTTGTCAATTTTATGAACTATTGTGGTAATGACTTTGAGTTTATATCTTTGTGATTTAATGTACACCTCGGTAGTAAGGAATATTATTATTATCACCACCCGATCTTATAACTCGACTGATGCCTCGGCATGTAATCTTGGTCCCTGGGCTAGGGGATAATGATATTCTTTTCTACCTTGTTGTAAAAATAACTATCCTACATTTCATATGGCATCTGAACTATACTCAATTATTTCGTGAATAATTTAGTTCATACTCGTCGACTAATCGGATAATCCGGATTACACAGAATATCTTTGTACCTATGTGTAAGTACCTAGTCAATATTACAATAGGGTCTAATTGAAGTCAATATTGAATGTCTGACTCCAAAAATATACAGAGTGTCCTCAAAGGTGGGGCATTCTTTTTTTGGAGGATGTAGAATTCATAAAAATATCAAATCCGCCAAATATCGCCTCAATGAAAGTTACATAATAACGAAGATATTGTCAATTGAACATTTTTTACATTTAGAAGTATAATGAACTTGTTGACATGCCTTTTATTCATGGTGCGTGTCGCCAAAGTGCAGCAGCAGCAGCATTACGTTCGTATACGAAAGGATTCCCGTTAACAAATCATCCAACTCAGCAAATGTTCTTTGTTTTGGTTTAAAGATGTTGTGATACCGGGTGTTTGAAGAAATAAATAGAAGGGCATGTGGGAAAGCTTGTAACACCCGAAATGGTAAATATACCAGGACCGCAGGGCCTATTCTATCTGTGGGTTTTTGAACTTCATCATTTTAAAACTGTTATATGGGCAATTTTCGTTCTATCTGTGAGTTTTTGAACTTCATCATTTTAAAACTTCTATATGGGCAATTTTGGGCGATTTTGTCAAATATGCTGAAATTCTACATCCCCTTGAATAAATGTAAAATCGCGTTTCAGCTGCTTGTGAACATGGCAGAAGTCAGAAACTAATTCAGTGAATTAAGAAAAGAATAAAAATAGTTATTTGTTCAACTAGGCAGAAAAGTACAAGATTTAATGCCGCGGCTGGCGCATCATCGGCTACGCCTAGGCTAGGAAACCAGCCAAGGCATTACATCTTCTTTTTTGCTATGTGAAACATTTAATTTTTTCTTCAAATTATTTTCAATTCCACGCAAAGTCCAAAAAATTCATAATTTTTTGTTCACCTATAGTCATTGTCAACTTTGATTACCAATTTGATTCAAATTACTTGGAACGTTGCATTCAACAAACTTTTTCTGCCTAGGCAGTAAAAGTACACCTTTTCTGCCTGTTAAGTGTCATTGTAAAGTCACTTTTAATATCATTTGGAGAAAAAATACTTTTTCAATGTTTTCTCATAAACTTCATGGAGGAATATAAATCTGGATATAGGGATCTGCCTCAGTATACAAGGCAAGATACGAATCTTTCTTGATGTTGAATGAGTACGAACATTTGTATATTTCCTGGATCAACAATGTCTTTCGAAAATTTGCCTGCTTCTATTGTGTACTTTTTCTGCCTAGACAGTAAAGTACACCTTTTCTGCCTGTTAAGTGTAATTGTAAAGTCACTTTTAATATCATTTGGAGAAAAAATACTTTTTCAATGTTTCTTCATAAACTTCATGGAGGAATATAAATCTGGATATAGGAATCTGCCTCAGTATACAAGGCAAGATACGAATCTTTCTTGATGGTGAATGAGTACGAACATTTGTATATTTTCTGGATCAACAATTTCTTTCGAAAATTTGCCTGCTTCTATTGTGTTCGTTTCCTGCGTAAAAAATTCATGGACTGAGTCAGCTATCCTATTGATTCGTCCAACTGCTTGGTGATGGATAACAATTCAACCATTCTAGTCAAGTAGGTGAGTTGTTTTTGTCTGATTCCGTTCAGGTTGCCGGTCGATGCTCGACCAAGTAAAGAAAATTATTCACTTTTCAATATTTGATATCGTAATTGTTGGGTACAGAGACTAAACGTCCTGTTATATTTAATATTCCCTTTTCGGGTTTCACTTTTACATGAAACTCGTAGTTACAGCGACTATATTGTCTACATTTAACTATATCTTTGTTCTCAAGCACCTGCTGATGTACAAAGGGAAAGTTCCCATACTTGGACTGTAATGAAGTTACAAAAACAGTGAAATGGAAATGAGTAAAAACATAAAAATCGAATCGAATTTCAAACTGAAATTTATGTCGATGAAATAGAAACTCCAATAATTATATGTATTACAAATTCCCAATTGAAAAACTGAACTCGTCTTCCTAACCTGTTCACCATAACAATTAAAGGGCTAAGAATGAAAAGGGTATACGTCGCATGTTGAACAATTTGAGATAATTGATCTCCAAGTTGACTGTACATAGAAAAGTCCAAATGCCTCAGATTTCAAATAACTCATTGAATTAATTTTCCAAATTTATATCAGTATAACGAATCCTCAAAAATATCAATAAAAAAATTAAAAAAAGTGGTTATGATAAATTGTTATTCATATCGATTAGTTTCTTCAAATAACGCCAGAAAAAAATAAAAACGGTTTCAGGAAATTTCGATCCTCTTCGGATATCTCCGAAAGTATTCGGAATGTTCCAAATTTCAGAACGGCATTCCGTTAGGCATCAAATTGCGCAACTTTGCTATAATCTAATCGACCCTGTATCTCTTACGGTCATATCAACAATTAGCGAGACAACTGACAGCTAGAGCAGATAGGGGATGCCTACAGGGAGGAGTATTATCGCCCCTACTATGGGCCATTCTAATGGATGAACCTATCAAAAGGCTAACATCCAAAGGGTACTATTGCTTAGGATACGCCGACGACCTCTAGCGGTTATCGCTAAAGGTAGATTCGCAAGTACGGTCTCGGAGCTCACACAAACCGCTCTAAACATAATTGACAAGTGGTGTAAAGAGGAGGAACTCACCGTGAACCCTCATAAAACCTCTATAGTAAATTTCAAGAAAAAGATAGTACTGCAAGGATCAAAGCCACGAGTACTCAACGGGGTAGAAATTCCGTTCGCCCTAGAGGCAAAATACTTAGGAGTCATCTTTGACCATAAGTTAACATGGAATCAACACTTACAAAAAATTGCTCAAAAAAGTACAGTAGCCTTCAATCTGTGCAGACGAATGTGCGGAAAAAATTGGGGACTGCAACCAAAAATGACCACATGGCTCTATGCCAGCGTCATCAGACCTATGATAGCATATGGGTCAGTAGTTTGGTGGCCAAAGACACAACAGGCTGGAGTGATTCGAAGGCTCAGTGCTATTCAAAGGCAAGCTTACCTGAGTGCCACTGGTGCAATGAAAACCACTTCAACAGCCGCTTTAGAGGTCCTCTTGAACCTGCCACCACAACAAATATATATATATATTCAAGGCGAAGCCAGAGCAGTCGTGAGTAGATTGTCAAGGGGTCAAGCACCCATAAGCAATGCGCACGGTAAAGAGTTGAAAAGCGACCCCCCATCATGGGAATGCCAACGGATGGCATAATTCCAAAATATGGCTTTAAAAAAACTCTTAAAACGGACAGAGAGGCATGGAAGGAGGGACTTCCTTACAATGCAGACATTGAACTGAGGAAGGATCGGGAGCTGGTATTTATGGGCCAAGCCAAAGACAAGAATCCCACTGAGCTTAGGTGTATACGCGACGGTGTTTCAGGCAGAAATTATTGCAATACATCATTGCGTGAAAGAATTGATAAGGCAAGAGTTTAAAGGCAAAACCATCGCAATCTATTCAGATAGCCAGGCGGCAATCAAAGCAGTCAAACCTATGCAAGTTAACTCAAAACTAGTGTTGGACTGCTTAGAAACCCTAAATGAACTGGGCAGTCAGAACAGACTCTTCTGTGGTATTGCGAAAGCTATACAAAAGACTAGTATCAAATCATGGATGCAAACCAAATCTCATGAATGGTGGAACAACTCGCCAGGAATGAGACATGCAAAAGAGATTATTAAAAAACCATCGCCAACATTCACAGAATATCTACTGAGCCAGAAACGAAGTTCAACTAGAATACTAGTGGGACTTCTCACAGGGCATTGTAGGCTCAACAAACACATGAGTACGATAGGTCTGACTGAAGAACTGCTCTGCAGGTTCTGTCAGGAAGAGGAGGAAACAGCAGTACACATACTTTGCCACTGTGAGGGCTTGTCAAAACTAAAGTTCCTTACGCTGGGAGAGGAAAAACCAGAATCCCAAAGATACACAGGGGATCTGAATGCTTGCCTATGGAGTCTCATAGAGAAGGCGGGGCTAGCCGAAGAACTCTAATCGTTTTCGAGGACAGTCACAATAGATCTGAAAAGGTCGCGGTGTGGAGGCAGATAGTCCCAAGGCCCCATTCTGAATCTAATCTAATCTCTCACGGTTTACGAGACCCCAATGATGAGGCTCGAATTCCAGCCACCTTGTACAACCCCATTGCATCGTGATTTTTCAATTCCATCAAAATTTCCGCTACTCGAAACTGATATTTTCCTGTTGTTTCAGGCCACGACTACTACTTCATCTCGACCTCGACCAGCGACGACCTGCATCGGCGCATCGGCGGCCGCTGCACCACCCACAACATGAAGATCGTGTTCAAGGTGTGGGGCGCCCCTCCGACGGTCGCCCCGCCCCCTCCGCCGCCCGCCCCCACCGCCAAGCCCTCGTGGTGGGCGGTCGCGCCGACGCGCACCTCCCCCTGGACCACCCAGGGCCCGCCTCCCACGCTCGCCCCGCCCCCGCCCACCACCAAGAAGTCCAAGACTTACGACAAGCACCCCAACGAGGTGGTGAAGAGTGAGGAGTTGACGCTCGCCGCGGGCGGCCTGTGCGCGAACGCCGTGCTGGTGGCGAGTTTGTGCGCGTGCGCGGTTTGGATGCTGCGATGAGATTCGTAAGCCCCGCCCCTCTCCCCTGAGGCAGCGCGCGAGAGGTCGGACGAGCGTGAGTTTGGGTGTGGGCGCCTTTTCGGACCGATCGGAGCGATTCTGGGCATGGCGGTCAATTCGGATGTCTGTCTCTGTACCCCTCCTCAATAATATGGCATTAATTATTTCCGAGAAGTACAACAATAGTTATTCATGCACCAAGGTAGTCAAGAATATCATTATTACCCAGGGATCAAGATTATATCTCGAGGCTGCAGCCGAGGAGTAATAGTATTCTCTACTACCAAGGTGTTGATTGATTTTTTCACCACTCGCAATATATTTCGGTCATTATAGTTTTGTTTTCAATCCTAATCAGAATCTAATTTCCTTTAATATGATAGTATAATTATGGTAAGTCGTTATTGATGTATACCTCCTTGATTCGAGTGCCATTTCTGTGAATCTCGCATCAGAATAGTGAATTTGGTCAATTATCACAGAGTTCATGAAATGATGGAAACTACCTTGGCAGAGAAAACTCCACTCCTTAAAAAGGAGTAAATAATGGTAGGTTCTATAACAAGTGGTGAAAAAACCTCATTAATTTTATTATTATTTGATGATGAGGATGAATAATATTGGATATGCTGAGTTGACTATTATTCCATTTAATATTTATTTCGTTCATCAAATACTGTGGTAGTTAAGAATGTCCTCTGGCTCGTCATAACATAACGAATTTCCACTTTTCAAACTCCAACAGGGGGGTATATCAGTGAAAATTCAATTCACTATATCAATCTCCATAGTATTTTTCCAAAAATCATTTGGAGAAAAATGATTGAAGTTAATGGTTGCTGGATTTGAAGCTACTACCTCTGACGTATCACTAAAATACGTGAAAATAAGTTGGTCCGTACCTTTTGAACAAAATAATTCAATTTTCATGGTGCTATTCTTCATTGTGGAACCCCTCTTCTGATGTAAAAGGCAAGTCGATCATATTATATATATTTTTCTCCAATTGACTGGACCGTTACTTGATGTAAATTTATAGTAATTGTAAAACACTTCACAAACGATAGGATTTCCACAAAATTCAACACTACATGTTTTGCTAACAAACTTCACAAAACTAATGGAATAAAACTAACTCTGGAAAGGTTAATTCAAGTCTTAATTTCCGGAAAATTAGGTGTACCTACGGAATCAACGTATTTGACTTATCCCTTTCAAGTTGATCCGATAGGTACACCTAATTTAATGTAGATTATTGAGCATAGTTCCCGAAAATTAAGACTTAATTAACCTTTTCACAGGTAGTTTCAATCCTTCAGTTTATAAGTATGATATAAAAGTTTAGCAAGTCAATGTAAGTTTAGTTTATTGTACAAGTATTTCACTTGCAGGAGCTACTGTGTTAGCAAAACTTCTTGTGTTATCAAGAATTTCGTGGAAATCTCATCATTTGTTAATTTTTTTTCCCAACTATTTCATTTCAATGATTTCTGTATTCTCTTGAATATGTTGTAAGACTTACACAGCACACACATTGTTGTATAATTTATTTTTGCCAAGGAAAGATACGGATTTGAATTGACCGCCACAGTTGAAATTGTTCTGATTGGTCTAGAAATGCATCCATGCCAAAAGTCATGGTTAGTTGGAATCTTGCCCGCAGCGCTGCCCAGTCCAGTCCGCCCGCGGAAGACTTGATGTGTTGTTTCCATTCCCTGTCGTCCCACCCTCACTCGTTTTTCGTACGGTTATATTTATATACTCATGTACTGTCTATGGTGACCTAAAACTATTCCTAACTTATACATATATTATTATATAAAATGAAATTGGCACGGCATCGCCGGGGTTCGGTCGAAGATCGGTTGGTTCGAAGTTTAGATACCAGTTTTTTTCTCTGGGAATTCCGAGAAAAATCGGCTATCAATTGCAAAATGCATGTTTCTCCTTCGGAGTTTCAATATGAGGTTGGTAATGCATGAAACTTGGACAGTTGACAGAGAGAACAAGACTTCTAACCTCAAATTTTCGATTAGATTGGCTGTGATAGGAAAAGTGGCCACGTGTTGCTCTCAAACGCCAGAAGTAGTTCCTAGTTCTCTTCAACTAAATATTTCAATTAAATAATTGTGTTTCAGAAGAAGTCAACAAAGGATGAACATGTATATTATGTGCAACCTTTCATGTTTCATGTTTGAATCCTAAAAGAATCTAAAAAAAAAAACGGTTTTGCTCTGGACTCACTAGCTGGGTGTAAGAACTCTCTCCATGTATTCAGTATATCTTATTTCGAAGCAGAGTGGAGATTTGTATGCTTCAAGAGGTTATGTGAACATAACAACTCCTTTTTTTCAATTTGAGGTGAATAATTGTCATTTATTCATGATTATGAGACAATCATCTATGGTACTTTCATTTCAAGTCGGAATTACATGACTATAACCTTGACTAAATTGTCATAAAGATTCTTGTTTGGACACATTTTGAATGTTTGTTTCTCTACTCGTTTCTAAAAGTTACTTTTTCATACAATCCGAATTATTTTGAAAGTATTGGTATTAACTAACGAGACCCAGAGCAGAAATTCAAAGTCAGGATAATATCAAAAGATGACCTTCTACCTAACCTAACCTAACCCGGTAAAGTTTTCTTGTGTATCAACAGCAGCTTCCTCGCTAAATATACAAGTTTTAGTGCGACCTTTGAACTCGATTCGCGAAGTTTCAGAAATCTAGCATTTTTCACATTGCTAAAGAGGTTTTCCCAAGGTATTTTCATGATATGATTTTGTTGACTGGTTGTTGTGGCTGGTTCTTTTCACTAGTAACTTCTCTCATGAACTTTTGCGACATTTTACTTCCATCAGCTGGTAACACTGCGAAAAAGAGCAAAAAATAAAAGGAGTAATAAGTATACCAGCAGAAGGAAGGAAAATGTTCACTGTTTCAACAAATATTAGAAATATTATGTCATGGAAACAATGGAAACCATCCATCCTTCACAAAGTGGTGCAATTTTACAAAGAAAAAAAAAGCAGAAAAACATTACTCAGTGTTTTTGTTGTAAATCTGAAATATTATTGGTTAGTGCACTAGGTCCTCTGGTATTTTGGATTCGTGTTCTATGCTGCAAGATACACTGAGTACATACATAGATTAAAGACTGTTTAATCTATGGAACACACGAAAATAATCTTAAAATTCGAAACCTGCCTCTAACCATGGTGGAAATCATAATATGGTGTGCTACTCATCTATGTTGAATTGAGCTCTTTCTACCTTGATTGAGAGAGAGGAAAGATCTCTCCCCTTCCATCTTTCTCTTCAATGCTACCAACTTGGCCGCATTGAAATATAGAGAGGTCCGATAAATCAGTAAACATGCATTATAACTAATCAAATTCTTTGGAAAGAATATATAATTACTGATTCAGGTTCAGTTATAGTGAGATATTTCAGTTAGTTCAGATTATAATGTATCACATCAGTCTGTCATAAATGTCATCGACTGATAACTTTTCAAATGAACTAATAAATTATATCATACTTAAATCGACATATTTTGTTAATATCATCAATTTGACACTCTGTTGAGTTCAAAAATAGTTCAGTGGCACCAACTAGATGTTAGACAAGGAAAGATTTATCGGACCTCTCTTTATTCCAATGCGGTCACGTTGGTAGCATTGAAGAGGAGGATGGAGGAGGAGAGAACATCCCTCTCTCTCGTTCAAGGTAGATAAGAGCTCAATTCGTGTTTCGTCATTGCGAGTCTATACTCACACCAAACGAAGATGCACTAATGCCTCTGACTAAACAATTTTTGCCCGTCATTGCAACAATGAGTTCATTCACGAAAGAATGAAACACCCCGTTTAATGTTTCTCCTCAAAAATAATCATGACCAGCACATGGCAAACAACTAAAATGATGTCCAAACAAGCAGTGAACAAGTTATTATAGGTGTTCTTATTTGATTGTGTCTAATTTCTATATTCCTACATCTTATTATTTTTTTTCACTGGGATATGTTGGAATGAATAAGATCAGATGCAAATTTCAAGATACCAATTCTTGAATATCTGGCAATTATTTTCAACACTGGCAAATCTTCTCTGTATTTTTTCACATTTTCAACGAAAAATTGTGGAGGGTTCAACAGAATTGTTGTTGGCAGATTGTGACCATGGTTTTTGGAATCCTCATTGATATTTTCTCTCTTGAACCAACTGTGATTTGACACAGGCGAACCTTGGATGATACACCCTGTATATATTGGTAACTATAAATTGGAAGGTAAATTATTTTTTAGTCATTGGAATTTTACATTTCCTAATTGATCAAGTCAAGTTTTATTGAATTTTTTTATGTATCAATCTTTTATGGATGCTAATGAGTTTTTGAAGAATTGTTGGGATTGTGTCTTTTTAAAAATAGTCAGAATCACAATTTATTTATAATCAATACTTTGGATCATATCATTGATCATTTCCTATTGAATTGAAGTAAAATATATACATTATTTATTCAATTTTTTATTACTACTTTTATCAATAAATACAAAAAATGTGATATATCAGTGACACGTCCTTTTGTTTAATTTTTCTCAGGAATTTTTCTGTTCTCAAATTAAGTTCATGAGTATTTCATTTATTTCACATTCAACTCCATATAGGTATTTGTTTAATTCTACTAGAAACCAAGGAACAAACCACATAGTACATAGTATCTAATTAAAAAAAATTCAACCTCTAATGATGAAACTATGATAATGATTGGTACAGTGAGAAATCATTTTGACTTCCCAATAATTGTTCATTTTATTATTATGGTTGATTTAGAATAACACAAACAATCATGAAAATATGCAACAGTGTTTGTTGAGAAACCCCTATTGAAAATGATGCATAGAATAAAACCTAAGTTCATTATTGTGGATCGAAAGGTTGCCTACTTTTGAAATCTCAACATGGGTCGAAGATTTGAAAAATTGATATTACT